TGTCCATGAAATCTAATTAATATTATACCAATTGCATTACACCCAAGAACTGCTATAGCTACATCCTTCTTAACCATGAAACAACATTGTTCCTTCTTTGTTTTTTCTGCCATGAGTAGTAACAGTGTGTTCTTCTGACTGAAAGCACCCAATTCCAGTCCATTTCATGCTGATGTGTAAAATATCAATGTTAGTCGTTTCATTTTTCGCTATATTGAGCTTTCCAGTGTTCATGCTTCTTAAATTTATATTCCACTATTATCCTGTCTTTGCAGCTTTTAGTTTTTTTTTCCTACATGCCAACATCAGCAAAAAAAAAAAACAACAAAACATCCCAACGGCTTTAATCTCACCGTTTTATAAACACTATTTGTACTTTGAAAGATCTTCAACTCTTCCTCAACAGCATATTGACAGCTATCCAACTTGAAGGACTTATTATCTGACTTGATATTATCAATTTCTTTTTCTTGTCTATTCATGTATTTTCCTGGTAAAATAAAGCAGTGATTTTTAGCATTGCCTTTTCCACACAGTATAAAAATATACTTAAAGTGTATACCTCCAGCATCTTCCTATATTGCTGCTGCCCCAATGGATGTCTCCTTCCTTTTAACTGCAAAACTAGTAGGACCTTCACCCTTTGGGCAACTCTGTTGGGATCATATATTCTTGGCACACATTTCAGTGCTCTTGCTCATTCTTCCCAGAAACACCCCTTCCCCACCACAACGAGGCATCACAGCGGGATGTGGAGAGAATCTAATGGACTGGTAGATAAATTATTAATTGGCTGGAACTGCTCTATTTCTTGTTTCAAAAGAAGCTATTTTTCCGACGGTTTTTATTTTCATTCCAACTTCCAACTGTTGCAGCCGTTTCTATCAGACCATTTTGAAATGGGACTTTCCTTGGTTTTAATTTGAAAACTGGGCTAAGTTTACTGACTTGGCAGAAAGTAAGGCATTTCCTCTCAAGTTTCAAATCTGAAACCATTAGCTGTAAATTGATGCTATTAATTAAAAGGAACAAAGGATGCACTGTTATAGCAATGAAGTCAAAATATTAAAAATAAAAAGAGTTCCAGAGCACTCAGATTAAATAATTCATTCTTTTATCATATTCATTTTGCATCAGGTAAAAACTAAATTTGGTTATGCTCATTTTCAACAAATATAAAAAGAAGAGAAATATATATATGCATTGATTCTTCTGTGGAAAAAAAAACCCCTCACTTTCCCCCCATTTTGTAGTTAAGTCATTTGAAGCAAAATCAATGAAGATGGTAAAGAAGTCAAAGTATTCTCAAGATGCTGCACTCTCAAAAAGCCACTGATCTTTCTCAAATGTCTGGATTCCTTGAAGGAGCTCTCCTTAACAGTGCAACCTCAGAGGTTCAATAAAACCTTTCTCCTCTTGGTTGCCATGCACTGCAGTGTTTAATCTAAAGGTTTAATGAACTGCTTAGATTCATTCACTGAGGGAGGATTTTTATGAAATGGTCCAGTAGGCAGACCTTCTGTGCAAAGAGCTGCTTGCTGTGTTAGCAGCAGGAATACAGGACTGATTACGCAGCTCTGTGCACCGTGTTCCCCTCTGAGACCTGAAATCAGAGCAAGCCGGGTAAGGAAAACAGATAACTCCACAGCACTGCAAGCAACATAAATGATGGAGATTTCTCATCACGAACCTGGATCATGCATTCTTAAAAATAATGCACCAAAACGTTAACAAGCATATTCAAAATATAAACACAGCAACAAACAGGATTTTAAAACAATAAAGAAATCTTATTGCAAATCAGATTTTTCATCCAGCAGGGTTGCAAAGAGTGTCAGGAATCTCTTTTTTTAAAAAAAGCTATTCAAATAATACAGAGCATATTTAAATATGATATGCAATATTATTCACTATTTACACTGCAAAACTTTTATATTAAACGTTAGCTACTTTCCTTTTATAAGAAGTCAATGTTCTAAGCACATTAAAATGAAAAGAAAATGTAACACTGATTTCATTAATCAATATTAATGCTACAGCACAGAAATCAGAGGAATCTATAAGAAAATGCTTCAGATGGGAGACATTTTCATGAATGAAAGGATTCCCCTTCTCAGAGTTACTGTAGGGGCAACCTATGGGCAATGCCATTCAGGAATAGTGCAGGAATAAAAGGTTAGGACATCCCTATCACAAGTGAATTTTGCTCACATACATAAACACAGTTGCTACTCAGTTTTAAAGCAAAAGGGGAGCCATAACTTACACAATGGAGAGGAGAGTTGCAATTTATCAAAATATAATCTATCTGGGTCTCTCAATTTGTCAGAGCTCTTACATCTTCCAATTACAATGCGCTTTGATACTTAAAAGATAATATTAATGTCACTGTATACCACTGTAAAGTCACAATATGTTGTGGAAGAGGGGATCTCTCCTGCATTTGTTCAAATATTGTATTTCTGAAACTTTAAAACAAAGTATATCATCTTAAGATAGTAATAACTAAATATAATCTTGATCTAATTAAGCTACTGGTCTTCTACTAAAATTTCTACTATTTTTTTACTAAAATAAAATAAAAACTGCATTGTCAGATTTTAACCTCAATCTTTGTTTTATACATAAATTATTTTAGGTATTATTATGAAAGAGAAGGTTTAAATTTATTTTAATAACCACTGAAGATTTTTTTTTTTAGGAAAATGAGTCCAATTGCCCTAAATTCAATTAGTAGATATTTAAAAACCACTTACTTCAGAATTTGAAATCCACACTATGAATCTAGATATTGACCAATAGATTTTATTCATGATTTTGGAATGGTGAAACTAACTTGGTTTGACATGCTGATTCAACAAATGAATGAATGTCTGTATTTCTTTCCAATCTTTCTATCCTAATATTCTGGGTTTATTTATAGTTTTTAGACTGTAATACATGGGTAATATATTTTTAGGTTACTCCAAATAAGTAATATGCAGCTTTAGAGAACTAGAAAGAAAAAGAAAGTTGACAAGCATCCATGTGACATTTTGTGGTGGTGGACTGTGAATCATGTATGCTGCCCAGCATCAATACAGGTAGTCCTCAACTTACAACAGTTCATTTAGTGACCATCTGAAGTTACAACGGCACTGAAAAAGTGACTTATGGCCATTTTTCACACTTATGACCATTCAGCTTCCCCATGGTCATGTGATTTACAAGCGAGTCTGAGGCTTGACAACTGACTCACATTTATGACAGTTGCAGTGTCCCGGAGTCATGTGATCCTCTTTTGCGACTTTCTCACAAGTCATCAGATTCACTTAACAGCCATGTTACTAATTTAAGAACTGCAATGATTCACTTAACAAATGTGGCAAGAAAAATCGTAAAATGGGGCAAAACTCACTTAAATTTCTCACATAAATTATGGGCTCAATTGTGGTCATAATCTGAGGACTATCTGTACTTACTTCAATATATATACATTTATACTTCAATATATGTACATTTATACAAACACACATATACAGTATGTATATACAGTATGTGTGTGTATATGTATGTATGTATATATATATATATATATATATATATATATATATATATATATATATATATATATGTAGGGCTTTGGTTGTTTGGGTTTTCTCCCACGTAAAATTGGAAGTGTCTTGGCGACGTTTCGACGAAGTCCCATTCGTCATCTTCAGGCTGGTGCTTTCAGCTTCGTGCCTCGAGCAGCAGTGTGTGGTCTTGGCTGTTTCTTCCTTTTAACTGCCAGTGGAGGTATGAACTGATTGGGTGGGAGCTTGGCTGTGTTCTGATTGGGTGGAGGTGTGTTCTGATTGGTTAGGGGCTTGGCTGTGCTCTGATTGGCTGGGCCAAGCCCCTAACCAATCAGAACACACCTCCACCCAATCAGAACACAGCCAAGCTCCCACCCAATCAGTTCATACCTCCACTGGCAGTTAAAAGGAAGAAACAGCCAAGACCACACACTGCTGCTCGAGGCACGAAGCTGAAAGCACCAGCCTGAAGATGACGAATGGGACTTCGTCGAAACGTCGCCAAGACACTTCCAATTTTACGTGGGAGAAAACCCGAACAACCAAAGACCTACATACAAATACACGCGAAAACCTCAGAAAACAAATATATATATATATATATATATATATATATATATATATATATATATATATATATATATATCACCATCATTACAATGGAAATAAAATATGCTTCTGTCTGCATATTAAACCAACTATAATTTATTCAACCAAAATTTTGATACAGAAATAATAAAACAAGTATGTAATGCCTTGTACATGCCTATCTCCCTATTACAAAATTCACTTGTAAAGTAAAAAAACAGAATGAAAAGATGCTTTAATGACTAAGTCTTAATAGTATCAATATACAAGGTCCATTTGATATTGTCCATTACTTGCAATTCTCCGAGTGACCACTGGTGAGGAGGGGGATGAATTGGGGAACTCTGAAGTTTAACACTGCTTCCAGTTTTAAAGATATGGAGATTAATTAAAAAATACCTTTCTCTTTCTATGATTTGAAACAAAAGGACACAGAATAAAATATAGAATTCTTACTATGAATTAGAGCAGACATGTCAAACTTGCGACGTCACGTGACATCACGCAACGTATCAGGACGGTTTTGCCATTGCCGGCAATGGGGTGGGCGCGGCTTCCGGATGATGTGTCCGGCCCACGGGCGGCAGTTTGACACCCCTGAATTAGAGAGACTTAATAAGCCTATATTTACCTCATTTTCATCCAATTATCAAAAACAAACAGGATCTTTTTGGATCTCAATCATGTTAATTCCTGTCAGTAGGAATGGCTTCAATCTGTCTTTGAACACAGATTAATGCCTTGGTAAAACTTGTCTAAACACAGCACAATTAACTCATCTTGCACAGATGGATGAAGAACACAAGTCTGAAGAAACAAATTTATATAACTGAGCCCAGGATGAAAATAGCCTACCTTGGCTCTTTGTGGCAAGTTCATCATGGTGTCTGCCTTGAAGTCATTTTTGTTCTTCCTGCATAGAACAGCTGTGATGATAAGGATGATGACTGTAACAACTGCTATGGGAGCCAACACTGCTGCAATGATCCATAAATTGTTGGGTGGGTTTTTTACTACAGCTGCATACATCAAGTAAAAAGGAAAGAAATGAACTTATAACGTTTACTTGTAATGAATCAGAGCAATGATCTATTTGACTGAATAATTTTTTCTCTAGCCTTCTCCAATCTAAAATCCTTCCAGATGAACTGGAACTACAATTCTTGGCTGCTAGTCTCACAATGCATCACAAGAATGTCGGTTTAAAAAAGGTTAGTCTACTAGTTCAGTCAGATTTTTTTCCCTATGTTAACTGAAAACCTTTGAGAGGAGGTTTTCCCTAAGATACCAACTACTGTATGATCTATCATCAAGAAATAGATTGCCCCTCACCCACAATTATATTCAACAGCATCAATTTTATTTAGACATTTATACAAAAAAGCATAGGACTAGCATATTATAAATATAGAATATATTACAGGAATATGTGCAAGAGTCTTCTATTGTTAGAGGCTACCAATATATTATAATTTTTAAATTAAAATCTCTCTGGTGTTGTAAAGTTACTGATAAAATCATTTATAGCATAGTATTAACTCTGCCCAGAGTAAAAGTTGTTGGTGCTTCAGTATGAAGATATCTGACAAATAAGCAACCAGTCTGAAAAGTGCTCTTAGCACCTAAAAGTGGGGAATGTTGTACACTGATACTCAAAACATACCTTTGGGCTTCTTTTTGACCTAAAATGGTCAAAAAGTCTATTAAAAGTGAGTTTTACTACAAGGTTTTTCTTCCACTATTTTTAAATATACCTTTTCAAACAGGTGAAATTAGTCTGTTACAGGAAAAAAAATCAATTTTAGCATTATTAGAATAGTTTTAAATCCTCCACTGTCATTAACATGATTTCTAAAGGCAAAGCAACATTATCAGCATGGCTAAAATTGATTGCAAAAGCCATCTTTTAGGACATAAACTGAAATGCATGTAGCAGTGGTACAAGAGACTTCAAAAACAAAAGTTCCACAGTATAAACTGTCCACCAAATTTAATTGGCAGCAGCATTCCTTTATGCATTTTCAACTGGAAAGCTAATGTGTGCTTTCCATGAGTTCACTATAGGAAAAAAAATTGAAAGTACCTGCATGGTCAACTATTCAAGCTTATTTAACAATTTTATGTTTGGCTCTTTTTACCAAGACTACAGCTGAAATCCAGACAGAGTGAGGGTAGGCCACTGAGATGACTATGTTTAAAAAAAAAAAAATGGATCCTAAACATTATAGACTGGTTAATCTGCTAAATGTCAGCATAAAATTATGTTTCAGTCATCTGACTGGAAATTTACAGATCGCTAGGAATAGCAGAACGTGGTAGTTGTTAAGGAAACAATTTAGCATAATTTAGGAATCTGAAGATCACTATCTGAGATTAAGGCACACAGAACTAAGGGATTTCTTTACTCAGTGATCTGTGAAAGAAGGATGCATATTGCTTCATTTTATTCAACTTCCATATGTACTCTGAAATCCACAAACATAAACTAAAAAGAAATATTGTTATACTATTATATGCAGATGTTTTCACAATATTTCTATTCTCCAACTGATCTGAAATGGGTTTTATCTGCACTTAACATCTATAGAGATGATAAACATATTAGTATTCTCAGTGCTTTTTTTCTAAAAAAAAAAAAAGGTGCCGGAACTCACACACGTCATACAACCCGCCTTGCCTACCCTACAAGGTTCCATCCAAAAAAGGTGTCGGAACTCCGTTCTGGGCGTTCTATGAGAAAAAAAGCCCTGAGTATTCTAATTATTTTTATTGCCTTACTATTTTCAACTATTATGAAAAGAACTCCAAGCTTCTGAAAATATAATAGTCCTAATTACATAAAAATATATAAATACATAAAAAAGCATCAAACGTATGTAGCTTAACCAAGTACTAACACTACTATAAAAAAAATCAATACACAGGTAAGCAAAAGGAATCTGGGTGAGATATTAATAGTCTGCATAAATAATACTTAGTTCAATCGTCTATTTTATATAAAGCAGTTCCTATTTCTACTGGGTCCAATGTGGGAACCTATTAGTGAGCAATTGTTTTAATTCTCATTTGTGTCAGAGTTTACTATTTTTCCTGGTGCAAACTCCACAATACTAATTGAATGTATTCCAGAATACATTATATTCTGCAATCTAGACTACATTGTAATATGTGGAAATAAGCACAGAGATTATCTGCAATGTCAGAATAATTTATCATACACTTCTTTTTTTATTTACAATGAATATACATAATTTCAGTCTTGACAAAACTACAGACAAACAGCCAAAGCTTAACTGTAATTTAAAAACGTCTTGCTCTGGAGAAGATATCTTGATCTTCTTCAGAGTATTAGAATTTTAGCTTAACAAGTTCAGATATTCATCTGTTTTATTCACCACTTTGTCCTCTTTTATACCAGCGAGTACTGTATATAAGAGTGGTTATTCAGTCATCTATATACTCCTCTTATGTTTCTCACAGGAACTGTGATAAACAAGTGTGGTTAACAGTTTCCAAATAAGCAAGGACAAGACACCAATTTCAAACAATTTCACATGCTAGCTTATTTTAACCATTCATTACTCTTTTTCACTTTGTACATAACAAAAAGCTGCAAAAAAGTCTAGATAATTGTTGTGGTTAAGAACAGATATACAGTAGGTGGCTCGCTTTTCTGCTTGCTTAAATAAAGAAAAGAGCAAAGAAGGTACATAGCTTCTCAAAATCATTCATCTCTTGCTTCAGTAAGACAAGAAGTTGACAATCCAAATTGACGTCTAAGAAATGGGCAGGATAAGTTGTTGTTATATAATGTTGTTGTTATATAAACCACATATGTTCTACTACCAACTATCAGAGCATGCAGCTTCTCATCTATCTATTTCTTAAAAATTAGATAAATCTAAAAAAAAAAAATCACAACACAAGTAGCAGGCAAGAAGTCACTAAGGCAGCTTGAAAGTAGACAATGCAATCCAGAACTAAGACTAATACATTTGTACAGTTCATGTCACATTTACCGCATTTGAAACAGGCTGAATCTAAGATTTCTTTTAATTCTTCACCTAGGCTAACATTACAGTATGCTTACACTTCCTTTAATACAAAGGCCAGTGTAAATTATAATCTCACAAATAACATATTCTCACACGTATTTATGCATACATGCTATATTCTCAGAAAGCTCTTCCACATGTTACTGTTCTAAAAAAATGTGATATAGTATTCAAAAAGCAACTAAGCAACTACACAAGATAACATTTTTTAATAAACCACAGCACTAGGTTTCCGCTACATTTTTATAACAATCATAAGAATTATAATTAATTATAACTAAAAGAGGAAGCAGGAAGCAAAGAGAGTATTTCTTACGATCAGCTTGTACTTGAACAACATATCCTAAAGTCAAGGCCATCCTTTGTGAATCAACTGTAGTCAAACGTTTAGCAGCTATTGTGCCCAACAAAGGTTTCCCATTGTATAAAATATAGTAAGTCAATTCAGCAGGCTCCCGGGGACCTGGAATTCGCTGCATTTTTACCATCTTAAAGAAGAAAAAAAAAACCACACAAATAAAGAACTTAGGAAGCAATTACATCTATAATGTTAAAACATCATTTCTGTATCCTGCAAAAGACAATATTAATTTGTAAATAGGCTTGTAAATTTAAATTACATTTTCAATTAAATTTGCAATATTCATGAATATTCAGAAGGAAGTTATTTAGTTCAGAAATACCAGTGGGAACTTGTTTGCATCCTATATTGACAAGTTATACATAGACAGGACTACAAATCTCAATATTCCAGACTCTAACTCTTTGTTCGGGAATTGATTTCCTTGGCAAAAAGCTCACAAACAAAACCTGGCTAGATTAGTTCATTTATAGCAGACATGGATGAACCAAAAATAAACATACACAATTTGTCTTTATAGTACACAGGAGTATAAACCACCTAAACACCAGGATTTGCATTGTAGGCCTGTTCTTTTCACCTTTCAAGATAAGCAGAACTTTCGCTGTTCTCTTAAAAGTCACTTGCTCTATGTTCACATAATAGCCCTCTGCAAATTTATTTACATTCCTCTCAAATTTCCAGTTTCTAAGTATTAAATTAATCTGAGTGATTCCAGCTTCTTGGTGCTTTGTAAATTCAGCTCCAAACAAAACAGATCAGACACTGAGGTTCACGCACCAAATAACAAGATCTTAATCCTGCTCTCAGATTTTCTTTTTATGCAACCATGTGCAAATCAGATAACCAACTAATAGAGGGGAAGAATAATTGGGGAAAGTCCTCCCCCAAACCTGGAATACCTTCATTCATATGTGCTATCGGTACATTAATATATTTGGTACAATATTTCATATTACCTCATAAAACAGAAAACATTGGTGTAAAAATCTCTCCCACTAATACAAACTTTCAGTGGAATAGATGTATATATAAAACCTGAAATACTTCCACAGGTCTCATTCTTGAACCAAGAGAAGGAGGAAAAAAACAACTGTTGAGTTGTTCTAATTTTAACCTACCGAAATTTATAATAAAATGGACAGATAAACCTTAAATTTGTCATAATCTTCACTACAATATAAGGTTTCTGGTTGATACCCTCAAACCATACAAAAACACTGCAACTGAGAGAAACTTAAGAATTATCTTTAGTTCTTGACTCTACCTGAACAGTAAAGCTGTCAATAGTAGTGGCTCGTTTAAATCGTTTTTCTTGTTGATGAGTCATCATGAACAGTGGTGCTAAACGTTGCTCCATGAGTCTTGCAAAACTTTGGTTATTCACCCCCAGCAATGTAGTGTCAACTCCCAGTATAACTACAAAAATTGAAGGAAAATATGTACTGCAGCAGTAACTTAAAAATATATAAACATGTATGGTTAAAAAAAAATCTTTCAACACTTCTAAGTGTTGTGTGATTTTTTTATGTACAATATTCAATACAGCATAGGGCCTGTACATGTGTCAAAATACTGTGTGACCTTTAATTGGGCTTTTAAAATATATCTTAATCCTACCACATATCTGTAAAAAGTTTTTATTAAAAAATAGCTTGGAAGGAAATTCCACAAATCCTAATATGGACAGTAGTTTATACTATTTTACAGCTAATCTTATTATTGGAAGATTATATACTTTTTAACCTACACGTGCTCTAAAAAGTTAAATAGTTGTTTTATTAGCATCATTTTACTTTAATTATTGTTAAATATTGATTTCCATGTAGAGACCACCCATGTAAATTATGAACAGATGACAATTACAATAAAAAAATGAATTGCTATGTTAAAAATGATCATAAAAATATGAACAAAATGTTATCATGGGTAGTCACAACTGTTAGAGGTCACTGTGAAATAATTAACAGTACCTATATACATGTACAGTTCCTATACTATACTGAACATTGTAGATTAAAAAAACCCACTCAATACTTGAAAGTGCCAAAAGAGAAAAAAAATCTGTAAAAGACCAGAGAAATAAGAGTTGTAGCTTATTTATTGAGAAATGGAGAACATGAATTCCATTAGATTTACACTGGGAATCACAAGATCACAAGAAATATTTGTCCCTCCAAGAAATGACTGAGTTCTATTTATCTTGCAGCCCAAACAAATTGGAAGTAATCAGCTGCATAACAAAGTTCTTTTTTTAAATTCAGGAAATAAATGTTCTCTATGGAAGTAATTTAAACCAAAGCACAGCTGTACAAAACCTGCAGATTTAGAAAATTCTACATTTGTCTACAAAACTACAACATGAATGAATTATGCCAAAGCATAGTTGCATTACAGAAAAAAATTATTGTTCCATATTCTTACTTTCTTAAGCAGAGAAAATATGCAACTTGCATAGTTAACCATGTATACTGAGAACATTCATATTTTCTTAACTATTGTGTTCTAGGATTTAGCAAAAGCAGAAACAAAAAACCAAACAAAATCCAAACCCACATGTATTTTTCCAATAATGTGTCTTTTATTCTGTTAGACAAATTGGATTTTCTCAGGAAATCAACCACTGGTAGAGTTGTTTGGTATGTAGGAGGAGATTATTGAAGAAGGAGATCTAACAGAGAAAAATCAACCTTTCTCATATGCGTGCTGAGAATAACAGTGTAAGTATGTTGCTATGAGACAGCCAGGTGTATATATGGCCAATATGTATTTATAAATCAGCACTTTGTAATTATACCTCATTATTTTCGTTAAGATTCTGAAACTTGTAAATTTGGGGCAACTTATTTTTGGATATGAAATTCATAGTTGTTTTTTCAAAGAACTAACTGAATAAGGCAATAATTTACAGAAGTCTCAGACTATTTAATATTTTACTAAGTAACCTAAAACGGCAGATATTGCACTCATTTTAACAGTCCTCACAGTGTCAAGGTTCTCTCATGTGAAAAAAAATTAAATGTAAGAAAATTAAGAAAATGCTGTCTAAAAAAACCCAAACCTTTACCTGTAATCACCCAGTAATCTCTAGTTGCTTCTGAAGTATCGAGATTTGGATATTCCAGTGCTTTAAAATAAAACAGGAAACAAAATAATCAATTACTCAACTAGCTTCACATTTTCCAAATTCTTTTTCTTGTGCTGTGCCAAAAGTTTCTTCTGCAAAATGTTAGTTTTGTTTTCTTACCAGGAATCCCAAGCAAGTATTCCTTATTTCTAAATGTCTCAATAAGCTGCAGAATCAGATAGTCAAGAATACATACAAAGGGAAAATCACACAGATCATCCCTACTTTCCAAATAAGTTTTATAAGGTTACATTATAAATTGTGCACCAGAGAAAATATTTGAGTTGGTGTTCTTTAGAAATCAAGCCCTGTATGTAAATTATTCCTTCTCCTATCTGGCATATAAACTGAAGTCATACTTCCCTTCAGAATTTGCTAATCAGGTTTTGGGTAACTGTAAAAAAAAAAGACAACTAAACTGTTATTATAGTGAAGGTGGGAAAATTCCACTAAAAAACCAGCTCAAAGGGTTAAAGAAAAGTCAACTATTCTGTTCATCCAGTGATGGGCAGAGACAACAGAAGTCAAGGAAAATCATGTCCAGTGGCCAATCAGAAAAATAGTTTCCTTCTTTCAGGTGATTTTTTTTTTAAAGGAGTCTTTTGGGGTTTGAGTTTTCTCCTGCAGAAGCAACTGAAAGCAAGGAGGGGGAAAAGAAGATTTCCCCAAAACAAAAGCAACAGGGCTACATTTATAAATTTAGGCACAAGTTAGGATTAGTGAAATTTGCAGCCATTTAGATTCCTTATTACAGAGGTCCCCAACCTTTTGGGCACCAGGGACCAGTTCCGTGGAGAAAGGTTTTTCTGCAGACCGGAGAGTGTGTGATTTTGTATGTTGCCTGTATCCCATGAATGGGCCTTTGCTTGTTTGTGTGGACCAGTTGTTGGCATGCCGCAGCCCAGTACCGGACCAGAGGTTGGGGACCACTGCCTTATTACATTCATTGAGATCTTTCTCTATGAAACTATGAGAGATCCTGGAGCTTAGTTCTTGAATTAATAGTAACTAAAATCAACCTTTCCAGAAAACAATTGTTCATTTCTTCTTTTTTCTTCCTTCTAATTTCTTCTAGGTTGTTGAGTTTATTATATACAAAGAAAAAGAAAAAGAAAGAAAGAAACTCTTTCTTTTGAAAGAAATATTTCTTTCTCCATTGTATGTCTTCTTGCCAGGTCAAACTGCTCAAGGAAGGGGACTGCCACATGCCTCTTCTATGAAAAATGAGTGAACAACAGAGTATTCTGGAGAAAAATGGCCGAGTGTTTGTGAGAAGATTTTAAGACCCCCTTCTAGACTGTAATAGGGGGTCCCAAGGTACTACCTCATATGTTTACATGAACCCCATTATAGTGGTTTTAATATTCTGGATTCATAACTACAAATTATGTATACATGTTCAAGGTTATTTTACTCAAACTTCAGAATATATTTTTCTCACAATAGAGTTATTTATTTCTCTCATATTGTATTCCACCTTTTTTATGTATAATTCAAGATGGCAAACCTGATATTCCTGACTCCTATTTTCTCACATGATTTGTAAATACCTCTTGAAAAGACAAAAGATATTGTAAAACTAGTCAGAAGAATGCTCATACAGACCCGAATTTACTCTCCCCTCCAGGCAGGTCTTCTAGAGCAGGGGTCCCCAACCTGTGGGCCGCAGGCCAGTAGTAGGGTGTGGGCTGCTAGCCACCAGGCCGCAGGACAGGCTGGCCAGTGCACGCATGTGTGTGTGCACACCCTGACTTGTACTAGCGCTGCGGCCGCGGAGTGCAAAAACAGGACACCGCGTCGCAGGGCGCAAAAAGAGACTGCCGCTGCATCGCAGGGCACAAAAACGGGATACTGTGCACAAGAACGGGGCAGGGCTAGCAAGTATCATGCACGCGCTAGCCCCACCCCTTTTGCATCATGCACATGTTCGCATGATGGACCAATTTTTTTGTGCATAACTACCAAAACCTTCACTGTGAAATGTTAGCAAATTTAGGGAAGCACTATGTTGCACAGAAAAGCAGCTTCAAAAAGAAATAGTCTTATTAAGCAATTTCTATACCTTGCGAGGGGCCAAAAAAATGGGGGGAGAAAGAAAATTTATCAGGCATAGATCATTGTAGGAGACAAGTTTGAATGGGGAGCAACAATCAGGGATCTTTACAGCATTTCTTTCTCCCTCAGAGACATGTGTCCACTTAGCAACCATTTTGCTTAACAATATTTTTCTTTTGATTTAAGGAATGGATTGCAGTCACTAAACAAGGGGAAGATATTTAAACTAAGCAACAGGCCTCCTCTGCAGCAGCTCCAATTTCAAAACTCTTTCTGTATGAAGCTTCATATAGCCCCCTACTTGTGAATATTCTACCAAGAAATTTAAATTATATCCTTTTGATGAGCTTTAATCCCTGATTGACTGAATGAGAACATCTACCTTGGGGTATGATTTATTCTGTGGTTTCTCTAAACCACAAAGAGCCCTTCAAGATTGGGGGCAGGTTATAATATACAAGTAAAATGCAATAAATAATTATTTTCCAAACTGGTACCATCCACATGTTTTGGCCATGCTGGGGAAGATGAAAATTGCAATCTGGATTGGTTAAAGCTGATGTGCACGGTCAACAGACCCATAACTGTAGTTACAATACATATCCATACAGATAATATATCCAAAATAAATGCTAATTTACTCATTATGCATTAATGCAACATTAATAGATTTTAATTTAAAAGACAGGTACACTGATTTGCCAACATTCACATATGCCATGTAAGAAGAAACATATTTTTTTGAGCAATCAATTATCAAAAGTAAATTTCACTACAGCAATTTTATTCTATTTATGACTTTTTAAATCATGTATGAAGGAGATTTTACAGCCTAAAGCGAAATGACATAGTTTGAAAGTGCTCAGTGCCTCTACCCAATAAATTAAAATTATGCAGTAGAAAATTAATAGGCTCTTTCTAGATTGATATTTACATAAGAGAAATCATGAACCTTGCATGCTCTTCAGATTTATGAGACAACATAGCAAAAAAGCAAAAAAAAAGTAATTATGTGAAAGAACAGGCGAGGCCTGCAATATAATGAAAAGAAACACGAAAAGGTACAATTTCTGAAGGATTTTCCTTCAATGCCAAGTTTAAGATAAAACCACTCTTACATTTTAAAACTTGTTTATTATTCTCCCTAAAGCTTCAGCTTTTTATGTTACAGTACATGTGGTCAAGAAGTTCTACCTCACAGAATTTTGCATGAGGCCTTGTAAAATGTGATTTTGTGCAACAAAAAAAAAAAAAAAATAGCAGCATGTAATACCACTCACAAGCTTTATCTAGAGTTCAACAAATGCAGCCTCTTACTCTCATTTGCCAGCTCTATTCATTCCCAATTCACCTGTTACAAAAACATTTAGTTCCTTAATTTCCCTTTCACATTTTCCCTATACTTTGCAACTGCTTTCTTTCCATGCCTTTACCTGTTTTTTTACTGTCTCTCCATCTATTTCCTCCACCTTTCTCTATGCTTATACATTGCCCTGCTTTTCCCCATTCACTTTGATGCTATTTTTACCCATTTTTCTCTGCTTCATTTCTGACTAGCATTCTTGATTCTAGCTTATTTTGACTATTCAGTTCCAAAAGAAAGAAAAAAATTTGGTAAACTTTTTTTTCTTCAAAAATGGACTATAATAGTGTTTAGAAGCAGAGTTAAAGCATGGATATAAGGGTTGAAAGAGTAGGACAAATTTGTTCCATCAACAAATGGACAGAAATGGATCCAACTCACAGTTTATTTTGTAACAAAATAAATCACTTGATGAGAATAATACATATTGTTCTTTTAAATCTATTGTTAAATGTTTATAAAAAATTGATTGCCAGCAAAGTGACTACACTGAGTAGTCATTTCATGACCTCATGACATACTTTGGAAACCAGTCTGGTGAACTGGTACTACCTAATTTTATTAAGCCCTTTCAGTCTTTCTTTTCAGATGCATTTTAAATAGAGATTTTCCCCATCTTTTAAGGAAAGATGGTTGGCAAAGTAAACTAACATTTGTTATTTGAAGCAAACTAAATCAATGGTTCTTAAATACTAAATATTTCCAAATAGTCTATCCGTTATTAGTAAATATGTTCTTGAGCTGAACTCACCTCTTAGTGATTTTTTGATTCGGTCCATGTAGTTTTTTTGGGCAGCATATGAAAATGGATTTGTCCTTTCCCCAGAATATATTTTTAACAATCTAGCCTGCAGCTCTACTATTTGAAGGACAAATGAAGTCCTACTCTCCTTTATGGGATCAGCCAAGGCCAGCAAGGGGTTATCACCTCCTGAAACCTCGTGTAATATGAATGATTACCAAGTATTAGGGGAATGTGAAAAACGTGGATATTTGATCCACGACGAATGACTGTTATCCTTTGGGCCAACTTGAGGTAGATGAGATGCCTTGGTAAATTTTCTACGAGTTGATTACAACAGGGGTCCCCAACTTTTTTGGTTCCATCGACTGGCAGCAGTGCAACCTAAACCCCACACATACAAATGAAGCTTCATGCGCTCGCCCACCATTTCAATTGCCTGGTTCCCAACAGGCTGCCGCCTGGTAGTGGGTCACAGCCCAGGGGTTGGGGACCCCTAGATTACAGTAACAGATCCGAAGAGAGGATTTTGAAATTTTAATCTTGCCTTTTTATCATTATTGCTCTTCTTGCTATTTGGTCATTAATATAGTATATAGATGATAGGCTAATAACTTGCAAATAGATTTAGTAGGTTTTTTTTAAAAAAATGGGCCTCTTTCACAATGGGTGAGAAACTAATATTGTTGCAATATATTCATCAGTTAGCCACTAGGAGGGATAATATGTATATACGTGTTAGGTTTTTTTCAATGTATTTTAATGTCTTGTTTGTTTTGTGTTTTCTTCTTTTTTTTGAAATTGTTTTTTTTGAAATTTTGAATTTGTATTTTTGTATTTTAACTAATATTTTGTATTGTATTTTGTATATTTGTATTTTTTTTTTTGAATAAAATAAAAATAGAACAATAAAAAAGAAGACTTACCTTCAGCAATAGTTAATGGTGGGAAAGTAAGATAGAATCCCACCAGTTCGGCTGAAAACTGATTAAGAAGGTTGCTTGGAACTGTGCCATTTAAAACTGTACTTTCATTCCTCACTACATAAAACAGAGTGACAGCCTGAGATACATTTGATGTGTTCAGGATCTGAAAAAATAAAATAAAATAAAAATAAAAAATAAAACAATTACAATAGAGACAAAGTGGATAACTTCATTTTGATTTATTGCTCTTTCCCTGTACTGTATTATTATATTAATGCGAAGATCAAGGGTAAATGCCTATGGAGATTCTCAGTCATCCAGGTAAATGTTAATCATGCCATTACTGCAAAAGAAACATGCTCCCAGGTATTTTCACTCTTTGGATAGACAATCCAACCAATCCAGCAGGCAGGAGAATAGAAATATTGCTATTTCACAAACGAAAACTCATCCTGGAAGCACATTTTTTATATGTATAATGACGGGTCATTTGGATGCCTTTATATAAGTAAGAAAATAGTAGTATTTCTGTTGTTACCATTTGGTTCTATTCCATTTTAAATTTTAAAAGCTGGGCATTCAAAACATTCAAATCCCATTTGTTCTTATAGTTTCTGCCACCCACCTAATCTGCAGGGCTATTAACTATGCAAATTACAACCAACTGTCAACTTTAAAAATGAATGTGGCTGTAGCCATTTTCCCTATTCATTTTTGGTTGACACATAGAAAGGGGGAAGGGGGGATTGCCAGATGCTTAGCTAATCAAAATATTCTTTTGTCCCGTGGGAACCAAGGTCATCGGTTGCTCCCAAGACTGCAAGCCTACCAAGAAGATGTATTGGAGAACCTAGTTGCTTGCATAGCTTTAGAGGTGGAATTTCTTAACTTTGTATTGGGGAATTGTTATGTGTGTCTTCAGACTTCGTTTCACTTTTGACATGCTTATACTTTGTAACTAATAAACATGTTCTTTGAAGAATTTCCAAGTCTCGGAGTTCTGCTTTATTTGTTTCTGTATCGGAACCTTGACACCAATTTTATACTATGGAAAGTAGAATTGAGGGGGAAATGGGAGAGGGAACAAGCAGGAGAAGTAAAAATGGCATGTTCCATGCATGGGGGAGACAATATTTCATTCAGGTTTTTTCCATTAAAATAAATAGAGAGTGGAGTAAGTTCAAATGGGAAATGTGTCTTATCTTCATGGTAATGCCATTTTCAACAGAGTAATATTATGCCCACAAAGTTTACCACATGCTTTCAGTGCACATTATGCAAGTCTAATTGCACAGGCCTGCAGCAAACATCTGGGGCAGACAAGACTGACATCCTTTCTTGATGCTCAAAGAAAAAGCAAAAGAGCACACATAATTTTTCCTCATCTCTATTAGTTTAAAAATGCCAAAAAAGTATATGCTGTGCATCATGCATGAATTGAAGGAATCAAACAAATTCTTGCTTACAGGCACATTCTAAATGTAAAAAAACTCAAACAGATTTAATACAATGAGATAAAGATCTCATCTATGATAGGAAGATTCTATTACAAGATTCTGTACTGATGAAAGACAAAAATATCATAAGGAAGGAATATACAAGTATCAGGGCAAATCACTCCTATCACTCTCGTCCATTGCTGGCTTCTTGTTCTATCTGTTTTGAGGGTATATTATTCTCAGAACCATTAAATTATAAAACAAAGTAACATATATACCACAAGGTGTTATAAGTTCAAATGGATAATAATATAGATCAGATATACAGCTCATATAAAAATTATTCAAAGGCCAAATACATTATTTCTTGTTCCAAATTCAGGATTTTTTCATAAAGCAATTACTGTAGATGGTTTATACTCTTTCTACACAAAGTAAACAATTCACTTCTGCCAGTCAAGCTTATCAAGCCAAATTTCTGACACTTCTTTCCTTTGGCATGTCCCTGTGGATTTCTGGCATGACTAGTCAACTAGAAAGGATTCTATCGAATTTTATTTTGATTTTTACCACTCAGTATAGAGTATGCCTACATATCTGGAAGTGAGTATATAATTAACTGAATGTAAAACGTGGAAAAATGTTTCAAATGATTATTGAATTCTCCCATTGCTCCATTTAGTAACACACATTACTGTAAGATTCTTTCATCGATCAATCAATCAATCAATCAATCAATCAATCGGTGGTTCTAGGAAAAAATAATTATGATGATACATTTATATGTATATCTTTTAGTTAGTTATAGCTTTGAAAAGATGTAGATATCCATAAAATAAAAGTAACTGATTTAGTTTTACAGCATCTGAGAAATGCAGCCAATAGGTTTTACCTCTATATTCTTAAATAATCTTTCAATAACTACAAATAAAGGGTCAAGACACATTATTCATATAGCATAACTGCTTTTAAATGTGGAAACACATTGTCCTCACTTTAATCGGTGCCCTCTGCTTTGTGAACTGGCCATTATAACACAATTCAATTGGTTTTGCAGATACTGAACAGGATTTTGGAACTCATGCTCTCTTTGTAATTTTATAGGGAGACCAGTTTAAAATGAATTCTGTCATTGGTAATTACTGTGCATGGGAGTACTACAACAGCTAGCTAACGCATTCATTCATTCATTCAAAATATTTATATAGCTACCCATCTTGCAGAACACAACCCTGTGAGGCTAAAAATAATAAAAAGAAACAATAAACAAAAAAACCCAAGAAAAAGAAGAAAACCCAGGCATCCAATCCATCATCAACATTCATTCATTTATGCAATTACTGCTTAGCAGATAATTAATTGTAGATAGAATAACTAAATTTCTGCATTTCTGAATCTTTTTTTAATATAAAGTCCAGCTTAAAGTCTCAAATTCTATTTGTCAGCGCAGACATATAGTATTCCTTGAGATTCATCAACAGTATTCCTTTGGCTCCAAAGAAAGTGGCATATTGGACGGAAAAGTGTGAGAGATGTACCGAAATAAAATATAATTCTGTAAGAATAATTGCCCTTGTTTATATGTTTACATACACATGGAAGTAAGATTCCATACATATATGCAATGGTTAAGATGTTACACAAAGAACAGGGAGACCTAGATTCTAATCCTCTCGATCATGAAATCACACTAGGTAACTTTGGGCTGGTCACAGTCTCTCAGCCCAAAACAGGAAGAAAGAGCATTATGGATACTGCTTTGAGCTCTTGTACAAAAAAAAAAAAAGGGGGGGGGATATAAATCTATTAAATAAATTAATAATGATAATAAATGGAGAATAATAAAATAAATAATAAATTACAACTAAGTCATCATATGAATCACGAATTTTCTCTTAATAAATAGTAATAGTAAAATATATTTATATTGGCCTTCCAATATGGTTAAAAATAAGACCTGATCTTCACCTGTTGTACATAGTAATAATTTGATAAAGATAAAACGTTTTACCTGAACATTTAACTTGCTAGTGGTATTCAAGACTTTCCTCTCAGCATCTTGAAAGGCCCTCTGCAATCTTTGTTCCATTGTCTGAACAAATCTGCATGACTTTATGTTGTCTGATTCATCCACAAACTGTAATTCTAGATGAATAAGAGCCATTGCATTTAGTGAATATATATTTTCTATCTGCCTTGTTAAAATCTGAAACTCTACACATATCTTGAAGAACAAGGTGTCTTCAAGTCAAACTTACTCCTGATGACCTCATCAACACAATTAGGTAGTCTTCTTGCAACAGTACTTAAGTGGTTGGCCATTTCTTTCTCCTGGGATGATTTTTACTGCCCTATCTGGCCTGATATTCCATGGAGCTCTCCCAACTATGCTTAGGCTCCAAGCCCAGACAAGGTCAGCCACATAACTTCCACATTCACACTAATCAGGATTAAGCCCACTGAATTCAAAACTTACTTTTAATAAATGAAGCAAATTCACTACACAAGATTTCATAATATGGCATTAAAATAGAGCATTAAATATACAATACAAGTATATCTTGCTTAACAACCATTTGTTCAGCCACTGTTTGAAATTATGGCAGTGCTGAATGTTACCTCAAAGTTCTGGCCATGATCACATGATCATGGTCCAGGTACTCATATGCCCAGCTCACAATTACTAAATCACAGGAAGCTGTGTCACATAATCACTATTGGCTGCTGGCTTTCCACAAGCAAAGTCAATGGGGAAGCCAACAGAGAAGGTCACAAGTTGCTCCCACTTTTTGTTCAATCTGCAGTACTTCCCACCAGCCCACAGCCTCTACTGGTCCCCCTGACTGATGCACAGCCTATGCCAGGCCTCCCACAACTTGCATGCAACCTGTGCCAGCCACCCCCCACAGCATCGCTTCCCACAGCATCCCCACACTCCTTACCTAAGATGCCTGCCTCTCCCTGCTTAATGTATGTCCTGCGGTTACAATAGCATTGTATGGGATTGCTGTCGCTATGTGACGTGGTCATGTGATGTCAGACTTTATAACATTTCTTAGCGATAGCAATTCCAGTCTCAATTCTGGTCATTACCTCGGTAATGCTAGTAGTATGAAACACTATGTTTCTATTTCAAGTAAACTGATTCCAATCCAGCTAATTATGATAGCTACAAGCAGTACTGTTGTTTGGATTTTCCCCCCTCCTTCCTCTTTAACTCTTTTGCTTTCTGTGACATGTTTTAGATGGTTAAATGCAGAACAGACACTTTTAATAATGGTGTGTGTTGAGCACTCTGCAAACCTTTTTGAAGAGTGTTAAAAACCTTTTTAAAGAACAGAAAAATAATCTGATACAGTTAAAGGAGTAAAAAAAATCAAATGTTGTAACACATATAAAAGTGTGCTTTGTTGCTTCAGACCTATTAATTTAAAAAATTAAGCAAATTCTATCAGCTAATTCATTGTTACAATTAAATTAGCTAATTTTATCTAATTAAATGCCAGTCTCTTAATTTTCAAGGGGCAGATTGACCCAATTGTTCTCAAATACTATTTGATAGAAGAATAAGCCTTAAACAGGGAAGGAAGGAATCTCCACTACTAATACATTTTGATTACTGGAACACAATCTCTTTGGGGCCAAGTTTAGTTTCCCACTCCAATTGAGAAGAATCCTGGATGTACAAAGAACATTTTACTTCCTGTTCTAACACTGAAATTTGTAACTGTACTAACAGATATAACCCTATTAGCTCTGAGGGTGTACATTAGAGAAAATTTACCTGTTTTCAACTGGAAATGATAAGCTGGCAGTGGGTTCCATGGCAAGGCTAAGACAGCAACAGAATGAAGATTTGGCACGTGCTTCCTAATATCTAAAGTGGCATTAGTAACACCATAAGCAATTAGCATTTCAATAACCACAGTAGGTATGAAAACGAGTCTGTCCTGAGTAACATAGTAACCAATTGTCACATTGTTTGATTGTTCCAAAATTTCTATCTGAAAAATAAAAAAGATAAATATGCATTTCATATTCTTCACAATTAAGAGTTTTGATTCAGATCACTCAGAGAACTGTATGACTCTTCTGTTCAAGGAACTAAAAACATTAATCTCAAAGAAGTGATCAAGACAAAATTGCCCTTTCAATAAAATTATGAATAATTAAAAATGTTTTGTTAGATTAACAGACTCATTGAAGAATGAGCATAGAGTTAAAAGCACTTGGCCCTAGGTGACCTGACGTACTTCAAATGGATTATTCTCTTTGTTGACTAATTTACTAATCATTAGTCCTATATTACTAAACTCTACACCAGTTACAGTGTCGTGGAAAAATGCAAGTTGTTATAGCAAAATACACATGATAAGTTTCTTCGTTCTATGTTATACTATACGCAAATATGAATTAAGAGCTTGCCTTACAAGACACTGGAATATTGGAATGGAATACTAACTATGCATTTTGCAAATCTATACAGACCATTATTCTTTCTAAATAAAGGAAAAACAGCAATAGAAGGGATACTATAGTTGTAGAAACCAAAATATCATGCAAACCAGAGAATAGTTTAATAACAGTAATAGCTCTCTATTGCACCTCCTTAAATATTCTGAAAGTAAATTTTGTATGCTGTTCCCCTTTTTCAGATTGATGAATTGCTTGCCCTACAAGTTAACTGACCTTAACTTAGTAACATAATAATAGAGTTAGAAGGGACGTTGGAGGTCTTCTAGTCCAACCCCCTGTTCAAGCAGGAGACCTTATACCATTTCAGACAAATGACTGTCCAATCTCTTCTTAAAAGCCTCCAGTGATGGAGCAATCACAACTTCTGAAGGCAAGCCATTCCACTGGTTCATTGTTAGCTAAAAAATATATCTAAAATAATAGAAGTCCATTCCACTGGAATGAATTGCACATTCCATTCCGGACACTGCATTTTCAACCAGAGATTGTTCATTGCAAACTGCCCAGATTTTTCAATCTTAATAATAAAAGCTGCTGCCCTGCTCTGCCTAAAATCAAGGAAATATATTCTAAAAGAAACTGATAAATGAAAATAGTTTGTTTTCATATTTGTAATGCACAATAATTCTATCAATTCTATACATTTTCAAAAATATGTTTTAAAAACCTTTAGCTTGTGTTCTTAATCTGATTATAAAACAGACACCAAACTTGCTTACTTGTGCATTGACATTTTGATTGAAAGCTTGACGCAATGCCAGGGTGAGACCTTTAGTGACATTTTGTTTTAAGGAGCCACTCAGCAGCAGTCTTCTTGTATTCAGAAACAATACTAGAATGTAAAGATGCGTATTTATTTAAAAGTATCCTTTGTTCATTTTCTCTATTATTTTTTTCCAAACCATAATGCCTGGCCATATAATTCATAAGCAAACTGAATTCTGCAAGAGAATTTACATTCAGTACTGAAAACCTGAACTCAGATAAAGATTATTATTTACAATCAAAGACCATTAATTGTTAATCTTTTAAACCAACAAAAAGCATAATGTCACCATAATCATAATTAAATAATTAGAAATCCTTATTGATAAACATTTCTTACAGAAATATTTCTGGCCTATAAGAATCTGCAGTTTCTCCTAAAGTTTTCCTAATTTGTTTCTTGATGACAAAGTCTTCTCTCCTTATTTTGGCTTTTTAATAAAACTAGCTTTCATACATGGTCCCAATTTTGTAATTGTTCTGGATCCATGTACATCAAATGCTCTCATGAATAGAATATCTGATTGTGTGACCTCAGAACAATCTCTCCTATCCTGGAGCTCTCCAACTCTCACAAGTACAGGAGCCAGCTTGAGAAAGACTGCCTTGGAGGAAGAAGAGGACAATACAGTGGAATTAAGCAGATCTTGATATTGCCAGCACCTTAGAAAATGCCATTTGTGGAATCCGGAGGTTCAGGAAATCAATGTTCCCTAGCTGGTCCCATCCTTTATCTCCAGGCATAGATTATCCACAGGAACAGAGGTAATAGCATGTTCAAACAGAAGCCTAGAATCAAAGACACAATTTCCCATCTAGAAACACAATGTTCCCAATTCCCAAATCCTGCCCATAATCATGGGAAGGCATGCTTCTCATGCAGTTCAAATTAGGATCTTCCTAATCATCTTATATTTTAGGGAAGTATAAGACTTCTGGCAAGATCAGAACTAAACAGACTAAACTTAAAAGAGGACAGATGAAAACTGCTCCTTGAAAAAGGAGGTCTCAAGCCACCTACACTACAAAAGAGCCAGAAAGATCAAATACTGAATTTATTAACAATAGGATTTATATTTTGTATTTGGCAATTGCTGGAACCTATATTTAACTGCTTCTATAATTCTTGTAATAAACTTACTTATTAAAGACCTGTGTCTTTGAATCCTTATCAATATGATTCCAAATCTAATGTCAGCTAAAAGTAAGTTGATGGTGGGAATGAGGCTGTAGCATCAGCTGTAAAGGTCTTAAGCTTGATGAACAAGCCAGCACATTATCCCATGTATGTTTATAAAATCTTTGCTGAACAGTTCCCTCTCTATCTGATACAATTGGGAAACATGAAGCATCACGTGGAGTGCAAAACTGCTAAAAGAGTTTCCCACTATTTTGAGGTGAGAAAGTAAAGAGCATTGTTAGAAAAAGATCTCCCCAAACTTAGCCCTTCCTATGTGCATAATATGGACTTACCCTACCTGAGGTTCTTGGCCTCCAAATGTGTCCCTTAACCATCAAATGGTGGTCCATCCATGAAATATACCAAGATTCTCTTGGCCTTGAGATTAAGCAGATCTTTCAGCATTAGTGGAAGCACCACTAGTTTTAGAACTGTGCTACAAGAACTTTGAGCTGCACTGTGTAAAAAAAGATTTTAAAAATACCGTCTATGCACCTAGTTAGTCTTTTCACTTTACTATGCTAATTAAAAAGCCCCTGAAATTAATTATTACACTTTCATAATCAAAAACAATATCTAACATCCAAATGTACACATATTCATACCTGTCTTAACCAGCAGGTTTCTGGACAGCTGGCATTCCAGAGGGAGAACTGTTGTCACATTAACAAAAGCTGCAGTTGACACTGATGCAGTAGCAGCAACAGCGGCATTTTCAGCAGATGTAGGGAGAAGTCTAGCTGTCTTCGCTGATGCTGTAATAGATGTCAAAGCTGCTGTCATTGTTAATGGGTATGCAGTTGATGTTTTAGTGATGTCTGGGCTTGTGGATTTCTTGGTGTCAAATAAAGTTTCAGTTTGTCTTGGTGCATGTGTTGTGGGCACTGAAACTCTATTATATTTCTGAATTGGGGATGAACTAGTGATATATTCAGGTAATACAGAATCATCCCTTGATACAACTGGAATATTTGCATGTACTACTATTGGGCTTAAAGTTGGTGCCATTTTTGTGACAGTGTTATTTTTTGCTAATGTTGATTTTAACGTGCTTAATGCCATCACAGATGGTGAATTGTCAGTGCTCAGTGAGAACAAGGATGAAGTCAGCATTGGTGATGTTGGAGCTGATTTTCCTGTAACTGGTGTTGCTTCTGAAGTTGTTAGAGATGATAATACACCAGGAGACACAGACGGTAACACTGTAATGACAGAATGAGTAAAGTTGGTTGTTGGCAACAAAGAAGTTAGCTGCGTTTGTGATGCATGGATAGAAGTTATGATAGCTGCAAAAGTGGTATGTGTTTGCAATGGAGTGATTGTAGTGATCTCATTAGGTATTTTAACTGTACCTTGGGTATTATTTTTATTATTCGTGTGCAACATTCTAGTAGTTAATGCTGTAGACGGTTTGCTCAATTGATTATGTGTTTCTGAGTTAAAGTTGTTTGCAAAGTCTGTTGTTTTTCTTACGATTAAATATTCTTCAGTGACATTTAACGTTGGCACTGAACTTACAACTGATTTAGGAGGAGCTTTTTTATTACTAATTGTACTATTTTTATTATTTACTAGAACAGTTAATTTAGCAATGAACTGAGAAGCCAATGAAAATGGAAGTGAAGTATAAAACATGTTTGTGGAGGCAAACAGCTTTTCAGAGTTAGTTGTCTGAGGTTTGGGTGTCTGGTGCAATTTGTCAGTAGAAACAAACAGCCGTGAATGAAAATGTGTTGACAAAGTTGTAGAAAATGTATCCAGATTAGATGTTTGAGTGTTAGTAGCTGTGAAATCTTTAGATATAGAATACGGCTGCTTTTGATAATCTGAAGTGAAATTAGTATTCCCAACTGTGAAATTTTCCAGAAAACTTTGAGATGTATATATGTTTCGTTCTGATTGTAATAATGGCATTTCTGTGATCTGTGACAAGGTACTTTGGTTTTGAAAAAAGGGTGAATATGATGTTTCTATGGAAGATAACGATATGTTAAATTCTGAGAAACCCTTAGACTTCATTTTAGTGAAAGGTAAAATTGAAACTTGTCGAGCAGATGTTGCAGTTATATTAATGGATGCTACTGAAGGTTTGTTCTTTACATAACTTGTTGATTGTTTTAAGACAGGAATCTTTGAATACGCTCTTTCTAAAGTTGTGTGGCTTGCAATATCTTTTGTAGTTAGAAATATCTGGGCTGCCTTCTTTGCATCAGTAGTGGACTGCCAATCTCTACTGTCCCAGTGAGGAACTAAAGCTTTATTTAACGTATCTAAGTTGCTTTCTGAAGTGGCATTAGTAAGGCCCATGGAAACTGTTGCTGGGGTTCTCAAATGTTCGTCTGATGAAGTAACTGAGACCAAATCATATCTGTCTGAAGTTATCATAGCAGTTTTGTAAGCTGTGTCAGCCATAGGTGAATGTTCATCAGCAGAATTATTTAAAAAAGGTTGTGATAAATGTTTTGAATGTGAGCCTAAAGTTGTGAATACTATTGAATTTTTCTCTTGTTTTGTTAAACTAAGATTTGGGTTTTGTTTTTTAGATTCTATTGGCTTTCGCTTCATAGAATCATTAAGTGGAGGCATAGATGTGGCAATAGAGTGAGATTTCAAAAGGTGTCTAAACGAAGTCGGCAAAGAAACTGGAAAAGTGGTAAAGGTTGTTCTTTCTTGTGAAAAAATATTCTGAAGCATTTTTTGTGAAGGTGTTTGTTTGCTGGCAGAAATTGTTACAGCAAATCGTATGGACGGTATCTCCAAAAACCAGTAGGGAGGGATATTATTTATACCAAGAACTGGGAACACTGTAGAATCCTTTGTGAAAGACTGCTGTTGCAATAATTTCTTCACAGAAAAATTAGGAGACCATGTAGTAGCTTCATAATTTCTATCAGGAGTATCTTTTTTAAAAACCCAGGTTGATTTTGTGACATGAGAATTTGTTAAGTTAGTCTCTAAAACAATGTTAGGATTTGATGTTGAAACAGTAGAATGAGAGGCTATGTAAGATGGCCAATTTGTCGTCATAATTAAGGAAGAAACCTCATGTGTTGAATAGGAGGCAGGAACAGTTGCCCATGTTATTTGCTCTATTGCATTATCTTTTTTTATTGCTTCTGAAATAACTAAAGTTGGCACTGTTGAGGAAGATATATTAGTTAAATGAGAAAGTCTTTGACTTTCAGTAGATGTTAACGCTCTCTCTTCTGTAGATTTTGACATTATCATAGAGGACACAGCAGTAATGGTTTCCAATAATGAAGACAGAGCACCTGAGGTATGAGTAACTGATGCAGAAATCCATGGGATTGTTTTCCTGCTTTTAAGAACTGGGTATGATGTGGTTACAAACATGCTTCTTTTTTTCAGAGATGTTGTGATGTCCATTGGTTTACTTGTGAGTGGTGGGGTAGAAGATGCTTTATTGTTTCTAAAACTCAGTGCAGATCTCTGATTAGGTAGTACATCAAAATCCTGACCGGGTATTAATACACGGAAAGCAAATGAATGCCATTTCCTATCCCTTGGATATATATATATATTGGCTGTTTCTATGAGATGCTTATTAATTAATTCAAAATTGTAACTAGAGGAGATAGCAACCAAAGATTCATTGCCAACCATTCTAGGTAACACATACTTTGTTGTGCTTAGTGAATTATCTGATTTTTTATTCAAGTTAGGTTTAGCTGTGTTCGTGCTGAGTAAATGTTTTACATTTATGGACGAGGGCATTTTGGTAGATGACACAGATGACTTGGAAACAACAATGACATGAGGTGTATCCTTTATCAAAGACAAAGGGGATGATAATGGAAAGTTTGGAAGTATGTCAGGTCTTGATGTGATTTCACTTGAAATGGAAGATGTTGTACATGGAATTATCTGAGATGACAAAATAGAAGCTGGATGTGTCACTGATGATGATGTAGACAATGTGGGGAGCACACTAATTTGAGGCAAACCTGATACAATAGTCATTTCATCAGCTTCCTGAGACTTCGTTGGTGATTCAGTTGAAGGTTCCTGCGATGCACTGTTGCCACTGCCTTGATAGAGAGTTGGTAAAAACCTAGTTTGGTCCATAGTTCTGGTCCGAGTCCCTGCTAATGTACTTTTTATTATCTGAAGCAAATTAGCATTCTCCAAGGCTTGCCTCATTGAAATGTCACCCACTGAGGAAGACTCAAGTTCTTTAGAAGGCCATGTTGGTGACAATACAGCTCTCCAGTTGGTAAAAGGTTCTGAAGAGGGAGCAACATGTATCCGTTGTTCCTCAGCACCTGAAAGATAATACATTTGTAATGAAAACCTACCAAACAGAACACATGCACCTGGAAACAAGAGGCTCAAAGTATATCTGCAGAAAGATTCTCCTCACAGAGTAGAGAATACTCATGAGATAAATAATAACAATAAAGTTTCACTGACACTGGTAAATGTACAAAAAATAATAAAATATATGATAGCGAGGATAAATTACAGGTGAATATAAGTTCAGTTAACATGCCTAAAAGGCCTATGACTGCCAACCCTGTTATCAGTTACATAAACTACAAAGACTTGACCAAGCTGCACGATAAAATTCCCAATGTTGTTATCAGCTACAATATGCCAACATATTAAGAAAGCTGGAGTCAGAAGCCAAACAAATGAAAGAAACGCTGACAAGTATGTATTGGTGACTTGGAAATCAATGCTGCATATGAATATTGTCAGCCTTGGCTAGGTTCCTTCACAGAGCAGCTGTAGGTGTTATCTTACCAGCAGTAATTATGTATATAATTACATGCAGGAAAAGAAAGCAAGAAAATATAGGAAACAAAGTGAGAGAAAGGACAATAAAGGTTAAAATGTCCCAATAATTCTCTGTATATGTAGATATAAATGTAAGGGCACATACATATATACATACTCAAACATGAACACAAAATTGCAAAACTAAGCAGTCATTTTCAATTACAAAAAGTAATTATACTTTACTGTATATAAGAAATGGCTACACAAAATTATATTCATACTTGCAGAAATCCATTTTAATATAAAAATCATCAAATATAATTATAATATAGTTGATATGCTATTAATTCAGAATTTCAGAAATATTTAAAAACTGTAAAATATATCTGAATATATATTTGTATGTAGCGTTGATTTTCTATTAAATATCATCCAGTACAACTACCATCTTATCTCAGGGAATTATTTTACATCATCAAAGCTGTATACTACATATACCATAGTATTTCATGGAAAATAAAAGGGGATATAGCAGAAAAGCGCCATAGCCCAATTACAAAACACTGAAACAGTCCAGGAAAGTTTTTTTAAAAATTGAAATACAGAAATAAGGGGGGGGGGGAATACAGAATAGAAAATAATACAAAATGTTGCCAATATAATCAAAACTTTGCATGGAAAGTAGACATTTCAATAGATAACTGAGTTAATATAAACCATCTTTCTTGTTCAACAGATAGTTCAAAAGAAAGCTAACTAGATTGGCAAAGATAATGGAACTTACAGAGATACTAAATTAATTTCTTTGCTTAGATAAAAAATATCTATATTTATGATTAACCAAAAACCTCTTATAGGTTTTTTGTATAAAATGGGGAAAATGTACTTGCGATTTTTTAGTTTCGATGATTAGAGAAAAAAGCTGGATAACAGAAAAGAGTGAACTTTCTTTTATAATCATAGAATAAGAAATAACTTTGCTGCAAAGGAAATTGGGAGCGTCTTCTTTCATTTTTCTTTTCTCTCATTTCTGCTTCTTCTTTTTATTTGTTTGCGTTAGTTTTTATGTTGTTTGTAAAACTTTCAATAAAAGTTTATAAAAAACAAAACAAAGCCAGATAGTTAACTAGGAAGTAATAATGAGATGCAGCATGGATACCATCATTCCCTCATATAATCAAGAACCACAACCCAAATTAAATTCCTACAGTGCAGTCATGGCTTTAATTATTCTATATTAACCAACAGACACTGACCAGTTAGATAATGCATAAGAAGACATTCTCAAAAAACTACAAATGGAAAACATGAAAATAACATTGGAGTAAGAAGATAGCAATTGCCTTTCTAATGCTATAATTGTTATCTGGGAATGGAACTGAATTCCCCCAAACTCTACTATCACAAACAATTATTATGCCAAGATAGTTACAGGAAAAGTTATTCTATGCTGGCATTTCAGTTTTGAGATATTTCTCACAACAATTTTTCAGGAATGATTTCTGACGTCTTTTTCCGTTTAATCAAAAAACACTATTTTGGTGTCTCAGACTGCTCTACTTTTGCCTTCATATTCATGGGGTGGAAATTTTGAGGGTGGGAACTCTCAAACAAAAGCTCTTTGGAGAGTATTCAGTCTAATATGTGGGGGGGGGGGAATGGCCTTTGCTGCAGTGGCCTCATTACACTGGAATTTATTATAAACTAACATTCATTCTAAGACCAAACAGCAAGCAAAAACCATAGAAGAAAGGCTTATTTTCCTTTCTTATGGATTATTTCTTAAGGGATTATTGATGACTTTGATTTTAGGACTTTTTTTTAGGTAGACTGTTTACTTTATCAACATCAATAACATTTATTTATTTTGTATTTACTGTTGGTATTGGGAGTTACCAATCCTATCAAATAATAATTGGAGGATTCCTCCCTTCACAAAAGCAATCCCAAAACTATTTTAAATAAATACATTTATTATTTATATCTTTTTTGTGAGTTTTATTGTTTGCTAATCCATAAGCCAGGCTAAAGTCAGCAGCTACACATAAAAAGAAGGTTGAATTAATTGTTTCAGGTATTTTCATAAACCAAAAGTTAAACACAAACACTTAGTTAAACACTAACAATAGTGACAAAAAAGAGAGAAAGGAGCCAATGACCTGCTGATTGCTGTTTGATATTAACAAATTAAATTTTTATAACATCAATTGTCCTTGTTAACAGAAAGGAGAAGTGAAATAGAGGTAAAAATAAATTATGCAAAAGAAAAATAATTGCAAATAAACCAGCAAAATGATTGGCATATAAATTGAGAAAAGAAGAATAGAAAAAAATAATATTAAAAATGCAAGATGGGAATACCATAATAGTTATAATTTAAAGATGCAAAAATATTTCCTCAACATTAATCTAAATTATACAAATGAGAAAACATTTTCCTGGCAAAGACTGATGAATATTTGAAGAAACAAAATTCACCAAAGATCACAAAAAAAAAAAAACAGAAACAATTAATGAATAACAAGAGAAGTTTGTAAAAAAGAACAAAATAGGGTAAGTGCCTGGACCAGATGGTCTTACTATAATCCTTTTGAAGATGAACTACTACAATTTCTACAACACATGATGACTCTATTTTACAGATTGGAAAGATACTGGACAGTTGGATAGAGGCCAATATTGTATTAATATCTAAAGCAGGGGTATCAAACTCACACAGTCACGTGACGTGTTGCAATGTATTGCAACTTTTTTGCCATTGCCAGCAATGGGGTGGGCGCGGTTTCGCTATGATGCATCCCGCCCACGGCCGGGCAGTTTAACACCCTTGATCTAAAGAAATTCAAAAAAAAAAAATACCACCCAATATCATTACTGAATAATAATTATAAATTATTTACAATGATTTTAGCTAAGAAAATGAGGAAAATTTTACAAGACTATTCATGAAAAACTGTGAGTTTTTATGCAAAAGACAGCTGAAGGACAATATTAGAAATTTATTGGATATTTTGGGATACTTGGAGCAACATAATGAAAAGCAAGCAGCACTGACTTTTCTTGATGCAGAAAAGGCCTTTAACAATTAAACAGGACTTTCTTGTTTAAATTTTTGAAAGATATGGACTTTTGAGAATTTTATCAATGTGTAAAATTCACCAAAGGTTCCAATAATTGTGAATGGTGAATAAACAAAACCTTATACCGAATGACGCTAAACAAAGATGCCCCTTATCACCATTGCTATTTATTTTAGTTTTGGAAGTATTCAATAGAGATATAAGAAGAGATGAGAGAATTTCTGGAGTGAAAATTAAAAGAGGAACTTATAAATTAAAAGAGTTTGCTGATAAATCTTGGAAGATCCCTTAAAAGGAATGGAAATATTTAACGGAAAACTGAAGGATCTAGGCATATTAGCTGGCTTTAATAAATAAAATAAGAAGCTGTTAACATAAATATGAATATCAATCCAGAAAAATTTTCCATATGCAGATAAGGCAGAGTAGATTCCTGCCAGCACTGCGAAGGAGGGAATGTTTACACTTTAGTACTCTGATTATATCTCAGCAATCAAAAGTAATGTGGGAAGTTGTTGGAACAACTTCAAAACCCAAACAGGAAAATGGATAAAAGTTATCCAGAGATATAAAGAACACTCCATTTTGATTTCTCTACTTACAATTACTCTATCACAAAACATTGACACAATCCAGCTAAAGTTGTTGCTGTTGTTAGTTGCAAAGTCATATCCGACCCATCGCTACCCCATGGACAACATTCCTCCAGGCCTTCCTGTCCTCTACCATCTTCTGGAGTCCATTTAAGTTCACACCTACTGCTTCAGTGACTCCATCCAGCCACCTCATTCTCTGTCGTCCCCTTCTTCTCTTGCCCTCAATATTCCCAGCATTAGGCTCTTCTCCAGTGAGTCCTTCCCAGCTAAAGTAAAACTCTTTAAAGTTAGAATCCTTAAATTACAAAATCAACTCCTTTACTTTTCTCCCTAAAACATAAATATGCTGGATCATGCCCTTCACATGCAAGAAATATATAGATTAATAACTGGAATTATAGTTTTATTTTCTATGACGGCATCTCATGCATCTGGAAATCTACTGTCTCTGCCTAAGCAACTCTGTCAGTGAAGGCAAGGGACTCATTTAACAAAGCTGGCAGGGAAGACAAGATAACAGATTAATAATTAGAAGGCCATCAACCTTTCATAACAAAGGGAAATACCAGAGCATTTCAAGTTGCCAGTACATTAATCCTCTGTTTCCAATGCTATTAAAGTTATTTATATGACAGCAATTGGGGGAGGGAATGGAACTGTATAATTAACTGCTTTTGGAAATGAAACTTCCCCAAATTCTACTGTATAAGCTTCAATTCCCAGAGTTGTCAGTCTGCTTGGCCTAATTTCAACATATCTGAAGATAAGGGACTTAAGAAAAGATAGCAGACAAAAAGGGAATAGAGTAAAAGCTAGACAAAATGTGATCAACTCCTCTGTGGATATGCTAACTAGTTTTTACATTTC